TAAGACAACATCTATACACTCAGCTCTGTGCCAGACACATGCAAGACTGTATGCAAAATATCGTTCCTGGCCCAAAGATGTTACTGGCAAACAAAACTTAGTCTGATTCCAAGCCAGTTAAGATGACTCTCATCTTTTTTTTAAGCTGCCCTGTCTCTTAAAAGTTTCCCTATGCCTAATTAGGGATTAAAACTGCTTTGTTTTCTTCATCTACTCATCCCTGGCTAAAAAAATCCTGGAGTACTTTCACCCAACTGAGCCAGTGTGCAGAATCAGAAGCATTTCAAAAAAGATTTCCCATACCATCTTTTAAAATAATGTTTTTGACAAATAAGGAAATTAATCCTCCCTTTCAGAACTTTCTGAATTCTTTCATGTCACCAAGAGCTGTATATCACTGACACCAAAAATAATAGAAATTTCCAAATCATAGAATCATCGAATGGTTAGGGTTGGAAGGGACCTTAAAGATCATCTAGTTCCAACCCCCCTGCCATGGGCAGGGACACCCTCCACTACACCAGGTTGCCCAAAGCCTCATCCAACCTGGCCTTGAACACTTCCAGGGATGGAGCATCCACAACTTCTCTGGGCAACCTGGCCCAGTGCCTCACCACCCTCAATGTAAAAAATTTCTTCTTTATATCTATATCGAAATCTCCCCTCTTTCAGTTTAAATCCATTGCCCCTTGTCCTATCACTACACACCCTTGTAAAAAGTCCCTCTCCAGCTTTCCTGTAGGCCCCCTTTAGGTACTGGAAAGCTGCTATAAGATCACCCTGGAGCCTTCTCTTCTCCAGGCTGAACAGCCCCAACTCTCTCAGCCTGTCTTCATAGCAGAGGTGCTCCAGCCCTCGGATCATCTTCGTGACCCTCCTCTGAACTCGTTTCAGTAGCTCCATGTCCTTCTTATGTTGGGGACTCCAGAGCTGAACGCAGTATTCCAGGTGGGGTCTCACGAGAGCTGAGTAGAGGGGCAGAATCACCTCCCTCAACCTGCTGGCCACACTTCTTAAGATACAGCCCAGGATACAGTTGACTTTCTGGGCTGCCAGCGCACATTGCCGGCTCATGTTGAGCTTCTCATCCACCAGCACTCCCAAGTCCTTTTCCTCAGGGCTCCTCTCAATCCATTCTCCGCCCAGCCTGTACTTGTGCTTGGGATTGTCCCGACCCATGGGCAGGACCTTGCACTTGGCCTTGTTGAACTTCATGAGGTTCTCAGAGGCCAACCTCTCCTGCCTGTCAAGGTCCCTCTGGATGGCATCCCTTCCCTCCAGCGTGTCCACAACACCACACAACTTGGTGTCATCTGCAAACTTACTGAGGGTGCACTCGATCCCACTGTCCATGTCTCCAACAAAGATGTTAAATAGCACTGGCCCCAGTACTGACCCCTGAGGAACACCACTCGTCACTGGCCTCCACTTGGACATGAAAGCAGCTCACCTGCTTCTAACAGCACATAAGCACATACTGGCAAGTTATGCAATTATTGGAAAAGATGACCCAACTGTAGGAAGATGGAAACAAAAGGACATAATTCACTATATAAAAGCTATTATGTTATCTCATGTTCTTATCCATATCTGCTACTAAAATAGCCATAAAACTAAGTAGTCTTTCCTCTCTTATCTGAAGCTGAAGGAGTTTGTCCTCCACTTACACAATGTGATCCTCTCCTCTGATAGGGGAGGGCTGCCTGCACCGTGGCTCCATAGGTTTCTGTCTTCCGCACTCTGTGTACCTGAGCGTTTCTCCTGTTATCATAAACATCACTGCTGCTGCATTTCACTGCTGAAATGCTGCAAGCTGGAGCACAAAGCATCGCTGGTTCATCTTTAAGGCACTTTTAGTTATCCTTTCTTTTCCTTGGTAACTTCTTTTATAGAATTTCTCTTGGATAACTGCTTTGCATAAGGATAATTCCTTAATTAAGGAATAATACTTAAGGAATAATTAAGGAATTAATTAAGGATAAGTGCAAAGGGAAGAGAAGATTCAAAGATATTCCTCAAAGGAAAGAAAGTTTGTATTGTCATTCAGATAGCCTCTTAGCTAACAGCATGGGTAGACCCAGAAAGTCTTGTCTCTTATCTCCCAAGGGACAAATACAAAGGAGCTAAGCTACAAGAATACAAAGGAGCTTAGCTACAACTCTGAAAAAGAGCTGCCAGAAATACCTGTCATAAAGACTGTCGGTTTACTCTCAAAACTGAAATTTAACTACCAAAAAATTCTCAGAGTGACTTATGACATAGCTTGACTACATCTCTAGGAGAAACATCTATCAATATGCAAAAATTATTCTTTTTATTCTAGAACATAAAGTCCTGCTTTCTTATGATATTACATTCTTGCCTATAAGTATCTTATTTTTATTATTATTATTAGATCATATTTTCTGAAAACATGACCTTTTGGAAATGTTTCCACAGGATCTAGAATAAGCTGATAAATATCAGTTAAAATGCCTTAGTGATTTTAAATGTAATCAGTGAGTATATTAATTGCTGCCACCTAGCAGGCTCATTTGTAGGCTTTGGCTTACCATACTATAATTTAATACATCATTGTTTGGTTAAATGATTTCATCATCTCTCTCTGAAGGAGTGTGATTTATTTTCCTCTATCAGCAGCCACTAAAAATGAATGTTTCAAGGTACAAGCTGTGGTTGACTTAAAACGTACAGTCCTACAAAAACCTTTTCTTCATATTTGTAGCTTGGGAACAGCCCCATGGAAGGCAACATATACAGGAGCTTCAAGCTAACTATACATGAGATTACCTCCTGTGCCTTCCGGACATACCTGACAAGTACAAGGCAAATACTTTGCCCTATTTCAGTGATAAATATTGTATCAGAACTAAGAAGTTGTTAAAGATGCTACACAGAGAGAACTCTTCCCTGAAAAGTGCTGGCATTTCTGACCCTCACGTAATTTGGACCAGGGTACTCATGCACTTGAAGTTATGCACTTAACAGAAGACAAGCCATGCAATCAGTTTGCAGATTGTCTTGCTTACCTGCGGCTCCGCCGGTGCCAGCAGAAGTCACAGGCTCTCAGCACGCCCCAGGAGCTGGTCTGTATAACACCAAAGTGAATAAATTGGCTCTTAAAACTGGGCTGCTGTGTTAACAGCTTCTGCAATCTATATAAGTGTTATGAATAATGAAATAAGACACTGGCAATGACAACACATTATTGAAGAGCTGTTAAGTGCTGCATTATGATTTCATTTTAATGCTGCTCCTGGATGAGGGAGCTTGCATGCCTGTGCATGAGGAGGAGGAGGGAGAGAAGGGAAGCTGCTTAATCTTCTTGTTGACCTATATTTCGTATTTAGCTACCTGTTTAATTTAGAGCATGCTATTTCCAGGAGGACTTGCCATTTGGGGAAGTATTGTGCTGCACTTAATTTTTTATACACTCAGAGGTCTTGTTGGGCTAAACAGTGGTACAACTAGATGCCAACAGTGAAGAAAAAGAGAAAATAATCTTTTTACACTTTCCTGGCTTATCCAGACCTGGTCTATAATCGTGCAAGTCAAAGCTGTCCACCGCTGTAGTTGACACGGAGGAGGTGGTAAAGCGCAGGAGAGGGCAGGGATAAGAACAGACAGAGTCTTGGCTCAAACCCAGAAGAGACTATAGCTTGGCATAAATTATCTTCTAACCTTGCCCTACAATGAGAAGAAAGTTGAGAAACAAATGCATTCCAAGTCCAGCACATGGGGAGGTGCAGGTTATGCATCAATCCTCCAATCAGGGCTTCTGTGCCAAAAACACTGTCCCTTTTATTAACCTTAGTGTGAGTACTGCAAAATAAGGTAATGCTCTGCAGGAATAAAGGTGAAAGAGTTTGGCCTCAGTGCTTTATAGAAGCTAAATAAATCTACTGCAAGATACCCAAAGTATGTGGAGGTTGAAGTGGAGGAAGATATTACATCCTCATACAATATTGCTCATGCTCAAGCACAGCATGGGCACAGATGCAGGAAAAAGAGATTTATTCCAGCAATGACAGTGGAACCACTTCTGTAACCAAAGACACTGGGGAATGAAATCACCTTTATTGCTCATCAATGGCAAAAAAATCCCCCTTTGCTTCCTGCCTATAAAGCTGTTCACATTTGATGCTACAGCAAATGACCAATAAATCACATGGTAAATGCAATTTCCTCCTACATTTTTAATATTTCTTCATTCCCTGCATGAGCCTCAGCTGGAGGAAAAACAAAAACTCTCCAGAGCTTACCAGTTGGAAGTGTTACAATATTGATTTCACAGAAGGTCACAGATACTGTTTGTGGTTTTTTCATCTATTCCCCAAACAAGATATAGGACCAAAGCAGAACATGCTGGGAAACTCAAACCAAACCAGAAATATCAGAAACTGATAAAATTGAAGCAAAATAGAAGGGATTTAAAACTTCCTACAACATAAGGAGAAGTGAAAAAGACATAGTAAGAAATTGTTGAGGAATTCGTAGTTACTCTTCCATCATCCTTGAAATGAATCTTCTATTCAACTGCATTCCAGAGTGTTGGTCTCAAAATTGATGTTTATTGATCTGACAATTTGAATTTCCTTATATTATGACAGTCTAATTTCACCAAATAATGTTGAGTCCTAGTTAGAAGCAGACCTCTTCCTTTCAAAAGAAAATGTGAAAGGTACCAGATGTTCATACTGGGGGAAATAATTGGAGAAGTCGTTTGTATCCAGGGCAAAAAAAAAGTAAGGACATTGGTAATCTAATGTAAGTCTCCACATTTACAAATATATCTCATGCAGTAAAGTGAAACAGAGTTCTATTATCTGAGTTCTTTTCTTTTTTCAAGTTCAAAAATGAGACAGATACAGACCTCTCGACTTACCTATTGGCACTTGAATTGGATTCTGTAACCTGTCAGGTATCTGTGCTTGCCAAAGGGATGAAAAAAGTCATCTGCAGCTTTGATAACAACGTTTTCTGTTTCTTTTTTTTCACAGCTCCATTCAACCCTCCCAATGCTGCAGACAGTATGGTCAAATTCGATGCCTATGGAGATGGGATAGGACGATACAACGTGTTCAATTTCCAGTACACTGGAGACAGATACTCCTATGTGAAGGTTGGTCAGTGGGCAGAAACCTTGTCACTTGAGGTAGACTCGATCCACTGGTCCAGGAGCTCTGTCCCTGTCTCCCAGTGCAGTGACCCCTGTGCTCCTAACGAGATGAAGAATATGCAACCAGGAGACGTCTGCTGTTGGATTTGTATTCCCTGTGAAATCTATGAGTATCTGGCTGATGAATTTACCTGTGCAGACTGTGGGCCTGGAAAATGGCCTACGGCTGACCTGACTGGCTGTTACGACCTACCAGAAGACTACATCAAGTGGGAAGATGCTTGGGCAATAGGTCCTGTTACCATTGCATGCCTGGGCTTTATTTGTACTTTTATGGTCATTGCAGTGTTCATCAAGCACAACAATACCCCCCTGGTCAAAGCCTCTGGCCGTGAACTGTGCTACATACTGCTCTTTGGAGTCTTCCTGTCTTACAGCATGACTTTCTTCTTCATAGCCAAGCCTTCTCCAGCTATCTGCACCCTGCGTCGTTTGGGGTTAGGAAGTTCCTTTGCTGTCTGCTACTCTGCCCTTCTGACAAAAACAAACTGCATAGCCAGAATATTTGATGGTGTAAAGAACGGTGCTCAAAGGCCTAAGTTCATCAGCCCCAGCTCTCAGGTCTTCATCTGCCTGAGTCTCATTTTGGTACAGATCGTGGTGGTGTCTGTGTGGCTTATCTTGGAGGCCCCTGGCACCAGGCGGTACACTCTTCCTGAGAAGAGAGAGACTGTCATATTGAAATGCAATGTCAAAGATTCCAGTATGTTAATCTCCTTAACATATGATGTAATCCTCGTAGTCTTATGCACTGTATATGCCTTCAAAACAAGGAAATGTCCAGAGAACTTCAACGAAGCCAAGTTTATCGGTTTCACGATGTACACAACGTGCATCATTTGGCTGGCCTTTCTCCCCATATTTTATGTGACATCCAGTGACTACAGAGTAAGTCTTTGGATATCTGTTTCCATAAATCATGTGCATCACTTTAGAGGACTGTGTCGTCATTCACTAAAAGCTTCTTTCACTTCTTTTGTCCCCTGGATCCCTCCCAAACAAGCTCTGTTTCAATGTTAATGTCCACTAAGCATATTTAGAAAATTTAGCTTATTTCTGAGAAAGATGCTCTCAGTTCAAAATGAACATGTACAGTTGAACGTGGAAGGGATTAACATTATCAGATTGTGGTAAAGGCATAGCATATGGATTAAGCATTCATACTGGTACACAAGTATGTGAAGTCATAGTCCTAACAGAAAAACCTGGTAGATCATGAGCTAGAATGAGTCATAATGAGTTATTTGGTGGAGGTGGGCCTTAAATTAAAAAACAAAACAAACCATTTCCCTTCTGCAAAAGAAACTGCCATTCAAACACAATATTTTGTTCCAAATAAAAAAGGAAAGAATTTCAAAGCTTCCCATGAAACAGGACTGTTTAAAAAAAAAAAAAAAAAGTTTAACAAATGTTATGCTTGAATATAGAACTTTTTATTCTTTCTCCGCTTTGTAGGGGATAAAACACATACCTCACTGAACAGAAAATATTGGTCAGCCTTCACCAACAACCTTAAAAAACATTAAATTGTTTAAATTGTCACATAGTGTTGCAAAGCTTCCAGTTCAATAAAATCTTATTTTTGGACAGAAGGAAATTGTCTCAGGAAAAGATTCAGATCTGCTCCACTGGAAATCTCACAGTTATTATGATGTGAGAATTGACTGCTGGAGTTCGCCCTTACAACAGTCGGCAGTGAATTAATTCAACTTTCTGCCCAGAACAAAGGTAGATTAGCTTAGGGTGGTATTATTACCAGTAGTACGTACATGAAATAGCATGTAAAACTGTGGAGTTAATAATGTCACTCAGCATACTTCTGGAGTGACCATCCTGGAACAGTATATTTAGTACTATTTTCCTCAGCTTAGGAAAGATACTGAAAACCTGGAGAAAATAAGGATAGATAACAAATGGCGCAGTAAGACACGCAGAGTGACAGTAAAAGAGCTAAATATATTTAGTCTAGACAAGAGCAAACCCAGGGAGACGTGATCACAGACTATAAATAATTTCAAAGCAACATAAAGAGAGAAAGGGATTATTCAGTCTCAGGAGAAGTTAGAATGGCGAGTAACGGATTGAAGCTAATGAAGGAAAAGTTTAAGGCACTGGGGAACAGCTCCAGACACTCAAAGTAATCAGGAAGATAGACACCGAAGGAGGGTAATATCAGTGCAGACAGTCACGTGAGTGGGCAGCACAGACACTAATGGTCAAGAGGAGCATGACTTGATTGCTCAAGCAGCATTTTTCAGCCTTATCTCTCGAGTGGGATTTTCAAACCACTCGTAGACATTTAATTTAAATACAAGGTTACAAATAAGCCAACTCAAATCCTATCAAATTGATAGAAAATGCTTTTAACACCTTTTTTCATACTTTCATGACATGTCCAGAGCTTTTTGAACATCCCATCCTAGATGTCTACACTTCTGGATTTCCTTTGAAAAGCCCATATTTAATTTCCATGCACTGTTGCATGTTGACTCTGAATCAACCTGTGCCATACTAGTGTAGACCAATACTGATGGCATCACCAATAAACAACCACAGAAAAATAACAGTAGCAATGAAAAAAATGAAAGTTGACTGGCTTGAGATTTTATCATTAAGCACAAACATCACTTAGGACTCAATCTTCTGAAAAAAAATGGAGAGCTCCTGGAAATTTATCCAGAGATTTTGGGTTGACCCCACTGCAATAGTTAAAGAACAAACAAACAAAAAGTAGTTCAAAATATTATACATCCCTACCAACATGGAAGCAGAAATGTCCCTGTATGAACCCTATATGACAGGTGCCAGACATGTTAGACATGCTGGGATGGCCTATTATTGTATGTCTTACACATTCACCGACTAGATAATCCTTCTATTTGATTAAGGTCTTCACTGCTGTGAGAAGAGTCCATGGTATAACCACGCCTCCAGTACACACGTGCTTTGTTTCTATCAGACTAAGCTTGCTTATATTGGCACAACTACTTTCTTCTCCCTGAATCGAATAAATTTTAACAGCAAAACAAATTCTGAGGGAAGGGTTTACTGTAGAGCTCTTGGTGATTCAGTCATGACATCAACTGTAGGACTTTTCCGCACACAACATGTCTTCACATAATCACTAAGATTGGAAGGGACCTCTGGGGATTATCTTGTCCAAACTCCTGTGCTCAAAGGAGGGTCACCTACAGCAGGTTGCTCAGGGCTGTGTCCAGTCACGTTTTGAATATCTCCAAGGATGGAGACACCACAACCTCTTTGGGCAACCTGTACCAGTATTTGACCATCTTTATCGTTTTATTACGTTTAAACAAAATGTCCTGTATTTTGGTTTGTGCCCATGGCCTCTTGATATGCCACTGGGCATCACTAGGAAGAGTCTGGCTCCTTTTTTTTTTTGTCTCCTCATGAGGTACCTGTATGCACTGATAAGATCCTCCTGAGCCTTCTCTTCTCCAGGCTGAACAGTCCCAGGTCTCTCAGTGTTTCCTTATATGACAGTTGTTTCAGTCCCTTAATCATCTCCATGGACCTTTGCTGCACTTCCTTCAGTATGTTCATGTCTCTCTTGTACTGATGAGTCCAGAGCTGGGCACAGCACTCCACATGTGTCTCACCAGTGCTGAGCACAGGGGAATGATCACTGACCTTGAGCTGCTGGCCACGTTCTGCGTAATGCAGCCCAGTTGGCCATTGACCTTCTTTGCTGCAAGGCACATTGCTGGCTCATGTTCTGCTTTTTGTCCCACCAAGACCTTCAGGATCTTCTCTGAAAAGCTGCTTTCCAGCTGAGTGGCCTTCAGCATATACTGGTGCCTGGGGTTGTTCCTCACAAGGTGCAGGACTTGGCTTTTCCCTTTGCTGAACTTCATGAGATTCCTGTCATTTCTCCAGTTTGTCAAGGTACCTCTGGATGGCAGCACAGCTATGTAGTGTATCAACGGATCCTCCCAGTTCTGTACCATCTTCAAATTTATTGAGGGTACACTCTGTCCCAGCATCCAGGTTGTTAATGGAGGAGTTATGCCGCATTGGTACCAATATCAATCCCTGGAACAACTAGTGACTGGCATCTGACTGGACTTCGTGCCACTGATCTCAATCCTTTGAGCCCAGCAGTTCAGCCAGTTTTCAGTCCACCTCACTGTCCCCTTATCTAGCCTATACTTCATCAGCTTGTCAATGAGGATGCTATAGGATACAGTGTTAAAAGCCCTACTAAAGACAAAATAAATAATATCAACTACTCTCTCATCACCCACCAAGCCAGTCATTTCACTGTAGAAGTCTATCAGGTTGGTTAAGCATAATTTCCCCTGTGTACATCCATCCTGACTATTGGCAGTCATGGCTCATCCACGCAGGCCTCTTGACACATTTACTTGACTTCCTGCCCATTGGGACAGGCCATTCTTAAGCTTGGACAAGGTGATTCTAGAAAAATAGCCAGGCCTCCTGGACTGCTCTTCTTTCTAGGGCCACATCCCACAGTATTCTTCCAAGACGTCTGAACAGGTCAACCTGCTCTGCAGGATGATGATCCAACTTTTGCCTTGCTTCCTCCTCTCGGGATCCTGAACTCCAACATTTACTGGTTGCAGCAGCCAAAGCTTTCCCTGCTTGTCACGTTCTTGACAAGCTCTTGCTTGTCTGTAAGTACGAGATCATGCTGAGCATCTTCATTCATCAGTTGCTCAACCACCTGTTTTAGGATGTTGCCCTCAATGTGCCACAAAAGCCTCCTGCATTGCCTCTGCCCTGCTGTTTTGTCCCTCCAGCAGGTACCAGGGTGATTGAACTGCCCCAAGAAGACCAGAGCCTGCAAATGTGAGATTTCTTCCAGTTGTCTAAAAAATGCCTCATCCACTTCTTCCTGATTATATGGTCTTTAGCAGACACCCACCACAATGTTGTCCACTTTGGTCTGCCTGCTAATCCTGATCCATAATCTATCAGCTGGCTCAAGGCCCGCTGCCGGGCAGTGCTCTGTGCACTCCTGCTGCTCTCCCACATAGAGTGCAACTCCCTCTCCTCGCCCTGCTACCAGGCTGCTGACCTATGCTGTAATTGCAGATCTGTGAGTAGAGCAGCAGCTATCTGCCTGCTGCCACAAGTCACAGGCTCCAGCCTTCATCTTCATGGGAGTTTCCATTTCCCAACTCAATTAACACAGGCTACTTAGTGCTTCTCTAGTACAGGTCAGGCTCTTGTACCTGCAGAGTGTTATAGAATCGTAGAATCATAGAATGGTTTGGGTTGGAAGGGATCTTCAAGATCATCTAGTTCCAACACCCCTGCCACCCTCCACTTCACCAGGTTGCTCAAAGCCTCATTCAACCTGGCCTTGAACACTTCCAGGGATGGGGCATCCACAACTCCTCTGGGCAAACTGTTCCAGTGTTTCACCACCCTCAGAGGGAAGAATTTCTTCCTTAGATCTAATCAAAATCTACCCTCTTTCAGTTTAAAGCCATTGCCCTTTGTCCTATCTTCTCATCATGTCTGATGTTGCAAATTCTGCTGACCTCCTCCGGTAGCTTCTTAACGTGGCAACAGAAATCCTCCATGCTTCCTGCAAAACAGGAGAGAAAATCCTCCAGCTTCCATGAAAGACCTCAGGCATCCCTGCAACCCCAAAGCTGCAGAGCTGCATCCTCTCTTGGGAGCTCAGTCTGGGTCAATCCTGACATGCCAGGGATAGCTGCCCTTGCGGGCACTGGGGACCCTACCCTGTGGCACCCCCATTGTTCTGCACACAAACACAGCCTTCAGTAAAGTTTCTAGCCCTCCTCCGTGCATGTTTCTGCACACTGCTGAACTTGTTAGCTGCCCAGCACCTACAGATGGCTCCTCCCAGCATCTGCAACAAGACTGTCCACCCTCATCTAACCAAGAGTTAGCTCAGACAAAGGCTTCAGGCTGACAGAGCTCCTTAGGAGCTGCTGGAGGTTGCTGGAACTCAAAACCTCCTTGAACAATCCTCTCCCAGCAGCAAGGCACCCTGATGTTCATCAAAGTGCTCCCAAGAGTCCTCCAAAGATCCCAGAAGTTGTTCTCAGAAGGTCTAGAAGATCTCAAAGCAGAGACCAGAAACTACTCTGCAAACTGCTGCATTTAGTGGCTGACTCTGTTAGCTGCACTGTCAAAAATTTAAAGGAGAGCTGTTGGAAAAGACAGGTTTCTCTGATGTCATTGATTTTCATGCAGTGCTCCGCATTGGTTTCAGAATCAAAGATACAATGAAACCTGATATGGTTAAATAAGCACACATAACATAAATTCACAGCAGCCCCAATATCTAGCATATTTAAGGGAATTTTCAATCTGATCATCTTAGACAAAAGCTTAAGAAATGGAGCAGTAGCACAGAAAGGGAAAAGTCTGGCTGTTAAACTGGTTATCATTAAATCAGGTGTCAAAATCTCCTATTATTTAGACAGGCAGTTTCTCTGTGCATTTCCTTTAGGGGCAATTCTGGCTCAAGGAGCTCACCCTGCTGCCACTCGTTCCTGCCTGGTCTAACAGCATTGTCTCCTTTCTGCCAGAGCAACGGCATCTGTGAGGCCACGTTACACACTGAACTACTGAAGTGACCCGGGTTAAAAGCAACCCTGTGCGATGGAGTTGTTTTAACCCAAATCATTTTATTGATTGAGTGTATAATTGTGTCAGCACAGCTAAGCTGCTTTGGGAAGCCCAGGCCCTAGCAGAGCAGGGTGGGGAAGGAGGGCTATGTTCGTGAAGATAACTTTATTTGAAACTACTCCCATCATTTATTCTTGTTTTGTAAGAAAATTCCCAATCCTGTTTTACCTGTACAGAGCCTGTACAGCTTACTTGTACAGAGAGGGGAAGGAGAAAGTGGAGCTGGAAACATTAAGGTATCCCTTTCATATGCTGGGTCTTCCATGATTGCTCACCCTGTGAGAGCTGAGCACCTTTTGATGGCATTTGCCAAATCTGCCTTGGGTAAAGAGTGATTATTAGTTATATGATCACATTAATTATACTCACTGCTGACAAAGCACTTGGTGCTCAGTATGTATATAAAGCAACAAAGTCCATTCCCTACTCTATTTTTCATTTTGTACCAATTATTTCTGACAAGGAGATACAAGAAGCATTCCCATGGAAGAAGGCTAATCTCCAAGGACTGCAGGAGTGTAACTAAGGAAAAACGAGCCATGGCTGTATAAGCATTCAAATTAAGCAGTAGAGTTTAAAGCAGTTTGATTCAACATGTTAATTAAGGAATCTGCTTGGAAGAAAAGAGTATAAACTGAAAATGAGGCAGTAAACTGGTGTGTAGTTATACCATTGAACAAAAACGAAGAAAGATAGTGCCAGCAAAGTTGCACTAACAAATGCCCCAAGGCACTTAGAATAAAATCCTGTAGTCTTACAAACAATTCATTTCTCAGCCCAAAAACTTCTGTCTCAACGTCAGGACAACTTTCAGACCCAGTCTGACAAATGTCACTAGCTCTTACCTTTACTCCAAATCGCACTTATGTTCCTGCAAGGGATTTTTCAAGTTCTCTGATTAGGATTGAGGCTGGAAGCTAAACTGGTTTTCAAGTAGATGCTTTGCATGAGGCATCTAACATAACCCCACGTAAAGCATGGTACGTGCAAGTCTGTTTCCACTGCAGCCAGCTTTGCCCAGTTGTTGTTTGACAGGTGTTACAGAGAGCTTCCTGACCAATTTAGGAATCAAGGACATGCAGGATGAGAGAAAGAGCACAGAACCCTTCCTTCACTAAAGTAAGGGAAAACATGCTCAGTCAAACTCACCCTGATATGCAGAGACGTCAGCACCACGCACCTCATTGATACGGTCCTAGGATTGTGGAAGATAAGGATGCAACCGATGCTCAAGCCAGTCTGTACAAGTGCAAACCCCCAGGACTCTGGTTCCTACTGCTGTATGATAATTCTTCTAATATTCTGCATTTCAGAGCTTTCCATACTGAAATATAGCACTTTGCACCCGCTCTCTCCTAGGTGCAAACCACCACCATGTGCATCTCTGTGAGTCTGAGCGGCTTTGTCGTGCTGGGCTGCTTGTTTGCGCCCAAGGTGCACATCATCCTCTTCCAGCCACAGAAGAACGTGGTCACTCACAGACTCCATCTCAACAGGTTCAGTGTCAGTGGGACCGGGACCACTTACTCCCAGTGTAAGTAACAAAACTGCCAGCTTTCTATAAGGATGTAGGATTGTGGTGAGTTTGGGTAAAGACAAGATGGGGTTTTTACCAGCAACAGAAAGACCAAATAGGATGGGTAATGTGTCCCGTGGAAGCATCACTTCATGTGTGTCTGGAGAGAAAAACTCATCCCTCTCCCATGGGAATCAGCTCAGAGCCCGCTCTGAAGCTCACTGAAGTCAGCAGAAAGCTTTCTGCAGGCTCTGACTCCATCCCGTTGCACAAAGCAAGTAGAGCCCGTTGCTCGCTGTCACTCTCACGGCAGCAACAGGAACAGATTGCCCTGGAGTATTCCTGTCAAAACGACACGCCAGCAGGACCTGGGCCACAATGCAGCATGCTCTCAATGACTCCTATCGCCTGCATTATAAGGAAAGGCTCCAAGTCTGCAGCAAACGCATACAAGGGATGCCATAAACTGCATCTGTATGTGGAGCGTTGAGCAATACCCTTTGTAAGTGCCACAGCCAGGAGAAGCAATCAGTGCTCTGTTGCAGGGACAGCTCATCTGCTCTGCCTCCCTCCTTCCCCTCATCTTCAGACTCTTCATCCCAAGCAGATTCACATCTGTGATTTTGATTTGGGGCTGTCGCTCCTCTTCTGGGTGAGTTGCTCAGAGATTTTTTGGATTTAAAAAAATTAAAGGTCACCTGTATGTTTGAGGTTTTTTGTCCTTGTCAAGCTTAACTAGTCAAGGATGAGAGCACACAGCACCTTGTTCACGGAGCTCTGCAGACAGCATGTCTAACCTGGAAATCCAATTGGAAAAGCACACTATAACAAGAGAGAGGCAAGGAATAAGAAACAGAGGAAAGGGCGGACACAGAGCAAGGCTTGCCAACAAGTTCACACTAACCTAGACTGAGGTTTTTCAGTATGATCTATGTTTCGAAATTGGCTAGAAATCTTTGGCACTTCAGGTTTCAGACAGAATGCAGAAGGAACTTGGTACCCTGCTGGCGTGTCATATTGGCAGGGATTAGGAGGTAAAGGTGCCCTGGCCATCTCTAGCACTCCCACCCCAAACCATACTGTGTGTGAATGCCCATAGCCCCTTAAAAAGATAGCAGCCATATGGCTCTACATGTTCACCATCTCATCAGAGTCAGGACTGCATCCAGACCTGACGTCAGAAACCAAAATCTCCTTGCTGTTTTGGAAAACTTAAACCAAGAGAGATGAGATGGCCCTAAGTGCTGAGCACTCCCAAAAGACTGGATTTGCAAGACCAATGGATTCCAAACAACCTTTAGAAGTTTGGTCCCCTGATGAAATGGTAAGTCCCATGAGATTGTTTTCATCCCTTATGAATTCTGCATAAGTGGTCTTTCCAAATTTTCTTATTCTCTCACACTACAGAATAAGCTTAGTCAGAAACCATTTTGATTCATGGATACTTACATGCAGGATTGCATTTTGGAATTTGATATTTTTATTATAACGTCTGGATAATACATGTGTGCGAGTGAGCATGCATGCAACTGAAAGATATCCTCAGTGCACATCTTTACATTAAAAACCTAGTTTTTCAAGTTTGTGAATAGCTTTAAGACATTAAGGCAAGCATAAATTTCCAGACTTACAATCTCTTGTTACTTCATTGTTTAGAAAGGTGGCCACAGTCATTTACTTTTCCTGCTTACATCTAACTGAATAAGAGCTGCTCATCTTTGTTCGTCTTTTTGGACCATGGCAAGACATGGAACTGGAAGTAGGTCACATACACAAGTCCGTCACATACAATGGAAAAAACCTTATAGTTTCCATCTAGGACAATTATTTGGGAAAACAACACTGAGAATTCACTGTCTATCACAGCACCAATATTTTTAAGAAGGAAGATTTTCCCTTACTCCCTTCCATTAATTTGTAAATTATTTTAAATAAATTTTCATTTAATCTTTTTTAACTGTTTGCTCATTTATAAACCTCCAAAAAGGTTGTCATCCAAATTGATTCTAATCCATGTCTAAAATATTCCTTTCATCAGTCCCAGCGATGTCAGCTTGTTTTTACTTTGGTCTTGATGGTGTTTTCATCAGTCAAAAACTGCTTAATATAAGTCAGATCAAAATTATCTCCAGGGCATTCAACAGCAACATCCAAAAAGTCAGTTCTTGTTCATTATCAGAGCTTCAGAGGACAAGGGCTGCTCAAATGGGCAGTGTGTTTCTTATCTCCATGAATTCTCACCTTTGTTGCATCTCAGGGCTGCCATCATCTCTTCACTCCATCAGTCATTAATGCCATGAGCATTAATGAGTGGGTCATGAACAGCAAGTAACTCACTGATGGTTTTTAGCACAGTTCCTTGAACCATAAAAACTGGCCAAACACTATGAGAAAAGGTAAGTGATGCTCATGATGCTCTTGGGTAGTGTTAGCTCTAAACATGTATTGCAATTACATCTCTAAACTGAGCAATGGAGGGAGGGCCTGAGTCAATGGTCAACCATGTAAGCTGCAGTGTCATACCGGTCACGAGAGCTAAACTGAACACCTCCTGTAGTCATCTGAATGCAGATCCTTGTCTTTGTTACATGCTCTGCAGAAAGCAAGTAGAGGTGGGGAAACTTGTTTTAGAGGCACCCAGCCTTGATCATTTTGACAGCTGAAGTCTGGACTACAAAAGAATATAGATTAAAACAGAAGAGACACAGGATATATGTGCTTCTAGGTATACGATATGTTTTGAAAAGTATATATCTATTTGAACACATCTATTTGAATCTGAAAACTAACATTTGGTAGAGCACTGCAGAAGTTCTTCCTCCCCTGCAGTGTTTCCCCCATGGGGCTGTTCCCCAGTTTTCCTTTGACCTGTTTTATGGGCTTGTCAGAGGTATTCCCATAACGTAGGAGGTCAGTGCTCGTAAAACTTCCCAGATTACTCAGGACTGAATTAAACACCTACATGATTCAGACCGAGCTTTTACACCCAGAAGGTGTCATTCATCCAAGTTATGTCCACATGGAGAGCTGCTCACAGACTTGAGCTCCTCCAGGTGACCTCCACAGGGGTCAGAAAAAGAATTGAAGCTACTGTTTATAGCCGGGCTGGTAAATTTTCTCCCTCAGAATTTATTTTCCCAGCCCTTGCTCAAAACTGGCCCTGATATATGGCTTTTATACATTATTAACTCAGTTGTCCTGCTGTGAGCACGAGTAGAGGAAGTGGCACGCAGACAGCAAGTTTGAATCTACCTGCTCCTGAGTAGGTAGGCATGCTGCAAGGTGTCCATAGCAGTGCTGGGCTCTTGCATTTTACCTCTGGTTCTTTGGCTTGGTTTATCTAAGCAAAATGAGTGGCTGCCTGGAAAGAGGAGGAATCCCTTCAGCTGCTGCTATAAGACGTGATGTGAAATTCAGAAGCCTACAAGGCCAGCGATTCACATAGCTGAGGTCTGTAAGGAAAAGCTAGATCTTTCATTCAGTCTCAGAGAGAGCTGGGTATTCAGGGTGAACACTTTACTCCACCCAGCAGAGCTAATAACTGCCTCCCAACTCTACAAGAGAGGTATGTGCTGTGGAGGAAGCCTGGGCACTCAAAACACAAGGCCACTTGTTTCTTGCCTACCACCATATTTCTCAGTCCAACTTCAACATCCTCCTGACTCAGTTATCATTGTATTTGAGCTATTCATGCTCTTCAATGCCTTGGGCTCCAAGAAAAACCCTGAAGCTAAGAAAGTTCTGTGTGTGTGACTAATGTTCACAGAAATGAAATGCTTTTGCCTGTAGTCGTGCTGCTGTAGAACAGGGATTTGAATCAGGTCTGCTAAGCAGTACTGATTTTTCTATATGCCAACAATAAGTAGAAATAAAAACAACAACAATAATAAAAATTTCAGGTCAACGTGCTGATGGATTATACCATTAAAAACTGAATACAAAACATAATAGTTTTCACAAAATTATCGACATGATGCCCTGTGCTCTTTTACCTACAAATCACTGTTTTCAACACGTATCCAGGTTGTGAGAGATCAAAATCCATCTACCTAATCCAGAGCAGTGGCTCCTTCTTGGCTCACCTGTTTATCAGGAATATGTCCTGCCCTCTGAGTAATAGGTTAGTCTAATAAGTGCCTCTAAGTTTCTCTCGTTAAGGCAGTTCTGTTTTCCATTTATATTTATTCAGTCAATGAAAGAATTAGAAACAGAAGCTGATTCGAAGAAAGAATGATCTGTTCTGAAAATGATGCTGTGCGTCTTTGGAGAACCAGTCTGCAACTGAGAGTGTAGACAGCACCAGTTTTGGAAGACTGAACATGCCCTTGTCAGCTGTATAAATTGCTTTTTACACGGGATGATTGAGTTTACTAAGTCATTGCTTGCCATGTGTTTTCTTTGATGAAGGCATCACATTTCTCTGGGTCACTGTTATCATTAACCTAATGTATCTTTCAAAAAACAGCTTTATGATGCCGTGAGCAGAGATGTCACAGAGCATCTGAAAACACTTTCCTGATGCCCAATGGATAATTTTAACAAAGATGGACAAACCAGTTTGCTTTTAAATTCAAATCCACAAGGTTTTTGCAGAATGGTAATATATCCTACAGTCAAAATACAAATATATTTAGAAACAGATTCTGATACTCAAATTCAATTGTCATCTTATATCACTGAAGTAATGAAAACCTATTGTATAAAATATTAGGCAATGTAGACAGAGGTATCAAAATCTCGCCCTCACCTCTGAATGCATATTGAATCCTAATCCAGAGCTCCTTGAAATGAAGGGTAAAATGGCCAGAAAATATTCTGGGATTAGGTGAGAAATAGTCTTGCTTTCAAATTCAGTTATTAAATTTTTTTTTCACTCCATCCAACAAATACATAGAAATTTTTTTCAACTAAAAAGTAGACCAGCACACAGTCCTATTATGTGGAAATGGATTCTCTCCTGGATTTAAAAATGCATATATTTTATTTCAGGAATGTCCATTCCAATTATGTGACAGCTCAAAGGATCTTAGCAATTCTTGCCAGTAAAACATGAAAAATCCAAAGGTTCACTTTTTATCCTACCAGGATATCTTAGCACCACTCTAGCTATATTAATTCAAACTACCATGCAAAGTGCTACAAAGTGAGAACCAGTGGCCCAGAATCATCAGAAAAGCCTCACATATTTGTTCAGATACCTCTTGGGGAAGCTTAGTCACCCTGGGTGCTCTTCACGGTCTGCAAAGAGAAATGAGGTTCTTCCAGAAGGTGCTTCAGCCTCAGACCTGAACCGCCTTGCAGAGGTGCAAGCGGTACCTCTACCAGCTCCCCGGCTGACACAGTTGCATACAATGACTTTTCATTGGGCATCTCGGTCAAACTGGGTTAGATGGTCCAGATCAACATCAATTCTAACTCTGTGTGTTGTAATTTATTTGCTGCCCCAAAGTCAGTTGATTTTTCCCTCTCTTTCTCTTTCAGCATCCGCCAGTATGTACGTACCGACTGTCTGCAACGGAAGGGAAGTTCTGGACTCCACCACTTCATCTCTGTGATTGTGACTTGCAGTTCAGTTCTTGAGTTTTTAGACTGTTAGGCAAAATTTTGCACATGTTGTGCACTCCGGAAAACACCAGAAAACAAAAGAAATCAAAACAAAAATAGTACCTTTTTTTAGAAACAGTGTAATAAATTATTTTTGAGGATTGTACAGTATATAGTGATGTTCTGGAACTTTTTAGACTGATTTTAGCCCTTCTGTTGTTAACGGTTGTAAGGGACATGTAAATAGCCATGGTTCACAATGTGCATAGTCCTGCAGTAAGGGAGTGATGTGTTGCAAGCACAGTTGCAATGTTAGGTGACTTCTTTCCTATGAGATTTTTTTGTAGCTCCTTGTTGTAATTAACTTAGACTGCATTTCTATGTTGTATATTACAGTTACCTTACGTGTAACAGGTTGGTTTTCTCAGCACAAAACAGCAGTATTAATGTAAAGGCACCAATAATAAAAAGATAAAAGTTTTTCAGCATGGTTTCATTTTTGTTTCTTCCTCCCTCAAGGTCATCACATTTCCCAGGATAGTTAGAAAGGATAAAAAGTCTGCAGTACTACTGTGTGTACATACGTGTCTGTGCACGAGTCTGTGCCTGTGTTACAAAATCCCTATCACATGGTATGTGCTTATGATAAATGCTTTGTCAGGGTCAAGTATAAATTCCCTTTCTTTAAAAAAAATGTGCATTATTAAAGCATCTCAAGTGTTATTTTTGTTATTAAAATGTAGGGTAATTTTCAAAAGTGAAAACATCTAATTGCATCTCAATGAGATATGAGCAAAAAAATTTGATTGCTGGTTCACTCATTGGGCATTATTTATGGTGACATGCACACAATAGATTGGCAGCATATGAAAAAAAAAACAAAAACAGAAAATTTGGATTACGTTGGCTAAGAGACAGAAGAAAATGTCAGAAAATTGTCTAAGACTGCTTTATACCTCCAGCCAAAACAAAGCTGGTTCAGTTTGTCTGCATCAATGGTGCCGTGAAAGGTAATTGGAGCACCAAAAAAAGTGAAAAAAGAGAAATCCAGGAGACTTTTACACGTGTCTCTGGGGTGACCTTTGCATTCAAACCAAATGATTCAAGACACACATACCAGTTACTTAGACAACTGCAAAATACCTTTGAAGTCTGGCTTTTGTAACTGCACTCTTCAAGTCGCCCTCCCTCTCTGGAAACAATCTGAAATCCTCCCTTCCGCCAGATCCAAAAAGTCATTAAGGAAACAAACACACCTTTGATTAATATGTCTGGGCATATTTACCTAAGGGCTTGTTCCCGTTGATCTCATTCCAGCTGAGGTCAATAGCAAAATTCTCATTGACTTCAAAGGCAACACCACTGAGGCTTGAAAGGCAGACACTACAGATACACACTGTTGGATCTACGAGTTCTCTGGAGCCCAGTTCTCCTGCACTTCCACAGGTTTTTACACATTTCTGGAAAGGGGCAAGTCCTTAGGGCTGAACTGGCGAAGGAAGTAGCTCTTATTTTTGCATGTAAAAATTAAAGATGCAGGTTCTTGACATTCCTATTCACAGATAGATGACTATTTTTTCTGGACATCCACATGTTTATCAGCAAACACTTCTTGGTATCTACGCTTGCCGCAGCTCTCTACACTGGCACCCATTTAAGCCTCTGCATCATGGAGCTGTCTAGTACAGAAATCCCTGTGACTTTCCCCAAAACAGGTGTTGCAGAGCTCTACATTCAACTTCTCTCTCTCCACAGGCTCTGGAGTGCCTAATGTTTTGCGTTTGGTTCCCACTCTGGTGCACAGCGCAGGGGCCAAGCTTTGACAGGCTGGGAGTCTTGCTTTCTAAATCGAGACCCCTTAAAGCATTTCAAGTTGGGCAGATAGATTCATTCTACTTTTGAGTGCCCTTTCATGGGTTAAGAGGCTGTTCACAGTATGGCAAAAGACCATAGTGCTGATGTCCCTGTATCTACATTATCTTTATGGAGCTCTTAAAAATGCCTAAGCCAATGAGAATTCTTCTCAGTTTTTATGGAAAGCAGCAATCAGGGTCAAACCTCCCTTACCTAACATTCATTAGTATAAATATCTACATAAGAGATTGTCAACCTTTTCTCCCTTTGTACTCAGTGGAGGGAAGGAGACACAATTCTCCTGGCTTATCTCAGACTGCAACTTTAGGCTGAGATTAATCTTTCCAAACAAAGGCTAGCACAGCTTGCTAGGATCACAAAGTTTGCACTGAAAACAAAGGCACTGTGTCAGATGAATTCCACTCCTAGAATTGAAATTGGCATCACTGAAGCTAATTTATAGCAAGTGAAGATCTTACAGTCCCGGAGTTTTCATTTATTTCAATAGCACTATTGAGAAAATGGCCCACCCTCTGTGTCTGAACACGTGTTATGAATACTTAGGTGCTTTGAAAGCCACGTGCATCTGTGTTTTTCATACTACAAAAAAAACAAACAAACAAACAAACAAAAAAAAAAACCACAAAGAGCTCTGGAGTTCCAACCCCACTAAACGTTCCTGACTTTCTAGTACTTTACTTGGTTTTGACTTGAAAGCTTTTCACCACTTTCTATTGGATATCCAGGGATGCAGATTATCTGGTATTACCTGATGATTGAAGTAATCCAGCTTCAAATCACAGCAAAACAAAGAAGGAAAATGTCAAAGTCTAGAAGAGGCTTTGCACACCATACTGGCATGAAAAGCTCTTGAGAAAGGGATTTTTTTCTCCGTTTTTTTTTTTTTCTATGGTGTTGACTCACATCATCATTTTAATTTCTCTATTTAAAAGAGTTTATAGGTTTTGTTCCCATTTGTGTAAAACCTGGCTTTAGAGTATAAACCTGTTCTAGTCTCTTTATTGCTCCCATCATGTATAAAGATTCAAGTAATTCACCTCAAAGCACAGTGGGTCCTGCCACGATTCCCTGGACAGTGGAGGGGAGCCCCAAGTACCTTGGCTGTGAGACCGAAGAGTCGTCACACTGCTCTGAGCCCAGCACGCAGCCAACCAGGGAGAAAGGCTGGGGATGAGAGCAAGGCTTAACCCAACGTCTACAGTGCCTTACTAGAGGCTCAGAAAAGTTCAGTTTTTCATTCCAAAGCCATAACTTCAGAGTACCTTAGCTCTCCGATATAAATGCAGAGTACAGAAAGGTTCGTGAAAAACTCATCACTATTATTTATTGGCCTAGCTGAAAAATAAGACTCAAAAAAATCATCACAGGTCAATCTGAAGTAAGCAAGATTTGGGTTTTTTTTGTCTTTGTTCTTGTTTTTTGCAGAGGTGTTTTTTTTTTGTAGGAGAGGTGTTTCTTTTTTAAGTCTTGAGTGAAGTTTGAAAGTAAAACTAAAATCTACTGTGGTAAACCAAAATATTTTATTTTGTCTTCAAGTGATTGTTTTTCCTGAATTAATTGAACACAACTGGTTTCAGTCATAGTCAAAGATATTTCAAAAGAAATTGGTTTTGCAAGTTGAAAAATGATCAAAACCTATTTAAAATATATCGTGTTCTACCTGAACAAAACAAACCCCAAAAATAAGAAAAAAATGTCCAAAATAGCCAGAGAGAGAGACCTGGAACACCAATCTTCTCACATGTCCTGCCTCTAAGGAGATGGCAGGGTCAGGAAGGGGCTTCTCTCTCCCCAGCAGTGCCACTTCCC